GGTCAGAGACTGAGAACATGGTGCAGGAGATGGTCAGAGACTGCAGACATGGTGCAGGAGATGGTCAGTGACTGCGGACATGATGCTGGAGATGGTCAGAGACTGCAGACATGATGCAGGAGATGGTCAGAGACTGCAGATATGATGCAGGAGATGGTCAGAGACTGAGAACATGGTGCAGGAGATGGTCAGAGACTGCAGACATGGTGCAGGAGATGGTCAGTGACTGCGGACATGATGCTGGAGATGGTCAGAGACTGCAGACATGGTGCAGGAGATGGTCAGAGACTGCAGACATGATGCAGGAGATGGTCAGAGACTGCATATATGATGCAGGAGATGGTCAGAGACTGCAGACATGATACAGGAGATAGTCAGAGACTGAGAATATGGTGCTGGAGATGGTCAGAGACTGCAGACATAGTACAGGAGATGGTCAGAAACTACAGACATGGTGCAGGAGATGGTCAGTGACTGTGGACATGATGCTGGAGATGGTCAGAGACTGCAGACATGATGCAGGAGATGGTCAGAGACTGCAGACATGATGCAGGATATGGTCAGAGACTGCAGACATGATGCAGGAGATGGTCAGAGACTGCAGATATGATGCAGGAGATGGTCGGAGACTGCAGATATGATACAGGAGATGGTCAAAGACTGTACACATGACAAAGGAAATGGACAGAGACTGCATGCATGATATAGGTGATTGTCAAAAACTGCAGACAAGATACAAAAGACGTTTAAAGAATGTATGCATATCACAGGAAATAGTCAGAGATTGCATGCATGTAACAGGTGATCATTAGAGACTGCAAACATGATACAGGAGATGGTCAGAGACTGCAGTCATGATACAGGAGTCAGACAGCAGACATAATATAGGCGATGGCCAGAGACTATACTTGGTTATATGTGATACAGGAGATGATCAGAGATGGCACACATGACACATAAGTTAGTCAAAGACTGCACACCTAATATAGGACGTGGTCAGAGATTGCAAACATGATACAGTAGATAATCAGACTGCTTACATGGAATAGAGGATGGCCAGAGACTGGTGACAGGCTACAAGAAATGGTTAGAGACTCCTAAAATGCTGTATAAGTGGATTGAGACTACAGGCGTGAGAAGACAGTGAGACTATAACATGAAACTGCTAGAGGTCAATGCTATTACATCCCCTTTACAAGTAAATGCTCCCACATTTGTGCTCCCTACGGGCCCCGTATAGAATGACTTGTTGCTATTTGAAATCTCAAACAGGAAGAACTATTATAACAGATTAGAGATAAAAAATAGAAAGGTGAATGGACAACATAAAAAGATAAAGTTGAAAAAAATTAAATCAAATCTTTTAAATAGCAGGCCACCTTAGCAATCATTGTTCCCACACTGATAGGGCCTGCGGTCTGAACAATAAGTGCCAAGATGTTCTACAAGGTCCTTGGGCCCTAGGCTGAGTACCAGTGTCCTAAACTATATGATTATTACCTACTGTGTTTCTGAAGGTTCTCATTTATCCAGGTCATGGTACAACTAGTGCCAGACTCATTCTGTATCCAGAAGATGTTTTTCAGCTTATCCAGGTCACATTTTCAGTTCTCGGAACTAAAGAGCATCTTGGATCTGCAAAACATCTTCAGCATCACAGAACAAGTCTGATTGAAAGTGACTAAGTACTACTAGTTATTGCTTAAAGAATATGTAAACCCAACATTTCATATTCCTGATCTGTGCCTGCTGTACCATGTACTTGTATGAAAAAGTCTCCTGTTCTCTTTGTATTGCTTCCTTTGTGTGAAATCCCTGGTGGTCCTGCCAGTCCCTCTGCTTTCTTATTAAACACTAGGCAGCGTGGTCAGTGTTCTGGCTGTGCTGGGAACTAATCCTGCTCTTCTCCAGTGATAAGACTTCTGACATCCCCCCCCCCCTCACAACCATTCACTGGGAAGATCACTGTAATGCTGTTTCTCCTCTCTGAGCTCCTTATGGCAGCTGAGAACAGAGAGAATATGATCACTTATAAAAAGGGGACAAAATGTATTTATAATGTTTTTATATGTGTATATAAAAGTTTTCCTCTCTTAAACTAAATGGGTTATTTTACCAGGTGAGGGTGTACATATACGTTATTACCTTCTAAGTAGTAAAAGTGTCTTATACTATGCACCCAATATTTTACACTGCAGTCACCAAATCCCTGAAACATCGGGACACTGACAACAAAATTGTTCAAATTGAAATACATCATTACAACTGTTCTGCAAACTAAAACAAGTGTGGCATGTACAGCAACAAGTACCTTTAGATATTTGTGCAACTTAATAAATATATAAATCACTGTATATTCACATCCTTAACCAATTCAATACCGGGCAATTTTACACCTTCCTGCCCAGGCCAGTTTTCAGGTTTCAGCGCTCTCACACTTTGAATGACAATTGCGCGGTCATACAACATTGTACCCAAACTAAAATGTTATCATTTTCTTCACACAACTAGAGCTTTCTTTTGGTGGTATTTAATCACCGCTGGGGTTTTTATTTTTTGCTAAATTAACAAAAAAAGACCAAAAATTTTGAAAAAAAAAAACGTTTTTCTTTGTTTCTGTTATAAACGTTTGCAAATAAATAATTGTTCTTCATAAATTTAGGCCGAGATGTATTCTGCTACATGTCTTTGGTGAAAATAACCCAAATTAGGACGTATTTTTTATTTTAGTTTGTAGGAAAGTTATAGAGTTCACAAACTATGGTATAGATCTGAATATTGATCAATCCTGAAGTACTGACAATTTCCTGAGGTCCAAGAATGTCAGAATAGTACAGATATCCCCAAATGACCCCTTTTTGCAGAGTAGACAGTCCGACGTACTTCATAAGAGGCATGGCGAGTTTTTTGAAGTTGTATTTTTTTGTCATAATTTTTCGGAAAATGAAAAAATTAAAAATATTATTTTCACTATTTTTTTTTTACATACTGTCACCAGTGCAGTCCAGCATCATCATATAACTGGCATGGCGGTGAACAGGGACACTGACTGGTGACAGTATGAAAAAAAAAAATATATATATATTTTTTTTATTTTGTTTAATTTTTTTATTATATTTAATTTTTTATTACATTTTTTTTAATTTTTTTTAAGATTTGCTTTTCATATTTTACTATGACCAAAGTAGTACAATGTTACCATAGTAACATTGTACTACTTTGGGGAAGTGATCAGTATTTTTATTTTTATTTTTTTACACAATTTGCTTATAGCAAAGAATTACTTTGCTATAAGCAAGTATTTACCTGAATGAAATCGATTCATTCAGCTTTTTTTTTTTTTTTTTTTTTTTGTGCTTAGCTGTGATTTGGTCACAGCTAATCACATGACATGTGCATGTAATTAGCTGTGACCATTCACAGCTAGGCACTAGTATACAATGGATGGCATCATGAATGAAGCCATCCATTGTATACAACTGTCATGTGACCTGCTGTGATTGGTCACAGCAGGTCACATGGTACCAGCAACGGGAGCCGGTACTTGGATCTGTCATCGGCCATGTCCGAGGTGCACGGCCGGTGACAGATCGCACTGCTGCGCCGCTCTGCATTAGCGCAAACGGCGCATGTGTGGGAGCACGCCAAATGGCGTGCACCCGGAATGGAGAGGCACATCTGAAGCCGCCAAACGGCCATTGGCCGGGCGGCTAATGGTTAATAAATATATAAATCACTGTATATTCACATCCTTAATATTACTGTTGGGAATGCATATAATACTATATATAGTATTGTATGTTTAATATCACTTGACCAGTAGATGGCACTGTACACTAAGGTTACCAGTTGTGCATATGTGTAAAACTTGTTGGTTCTCTCTCTTTCTCCTCTCTCAAAGCAAGATGTCTGCTATCACTGTCTGCTGAAATGTGCTCTGTATGTTTGTAACTTAAGCCACACAAGCAAAAGTCATAATTCTGCCTCATCACAAGCTACCAGTGTCTTCTCTAACACATAACCAACAATTACATCAGGTGCACTAAATTATATCACCATGTGGTGATTTTAGTGAGATATTAGTCCAATAAAAGATGTAAACGTGTGGATCCCAAAAGGATCGCAAATATTGGTGTATGGATATCCGATCCGGGAGTGACAGATGATGTGTTCCAAGTGAATAAAAAAAGCGCACTCACCAGAAGTGCGCTTTTAACACGCAATATGAAAATCCTGTGTCATCAGGTAATTAGTGGGTCATCTGTTCCCAGGTCAGGTCACACTCCATATCACCATCTGGTCTCATCTGCATTAAGGTTCCGGAATCCCTCGGTATGTATTACCATCTGGGGTCACCTTTTAAAGCGGGCACGGCGAATGATGGCACTCACACGGAGAGCCCAATAAGGGACACCACACAGCGTAATATCTGTCATCATCTGTCACTCCTGGATCGGATATCCCTACACCAATATTTGCGATCCTTTTGGGATCCACACGTTTACATCTTTTATTGGACTAATATCTCACTAAAATCACCACATGGTGATATCATTTAGTGCACCTGATGTAATATTAAGGATGTGAATATACAGTGATTTATATATTTATTACGTTGCACAATATGATTCAGAGCTGCACCTATTTGTCTTGACTTATATATTTTTGGAAGGTTTCTTTTGGTTGCCTTATTTGGTGTTCTAGCAGCTGCCTTGTTTTCTCTCTTTTCTTTGTGTAGCGCTTGCTAAACATTCCTTTTTCTTACCTTTAGTTATTAGCACGATCATTTCAGAGGTCCATATATTTTGATTGTATTTGAACTTTTTATTTTTGTAGCTATGCATACCCTTTAAATAAAAATGGGGATCAGTAATATATGTTATATATACTTTTTTTGGGATTTTATTTGGACTTTTATTTGGACTTTATTTTGGGACTTTAAACACTAAATTTAGGTTTATTGTAATCAAGTTTGCTTAAAGATTGATTTATTCAGTAATATATGTTGTTGCGTGTTCTCTGACCACCATGGTATCATTCTCTCTGCAGTCTAGATGACATGCTGCGTTGTGGTGTGAGCTACGCTGCACACATGGTGGTGGTCGGGGAAGAGAGCTCAATGATCGCTGAGGAGGATTATATGGCTGATGCACGGACCATTGTCAACGTACAGACCCTCTTCAGGTACAAAGACATAATTTATACTCACCCAGGAAATCTGGTCAGATAGGACAAGTATGGTTTGTTTGAAATTGACTCAGATACTTACCTAAATCTATTAATACTGTATGTGTCCTCACCAAGTAGATTCACCTTCCTTATTTTATAAATAAATTGCCACGCTCAATTTATTTATATGATTTGTACACTGTTGACCAGATTGTCTTGCCATCAGCTATTTTTGCACTTTTTCACTATTTGTGCAGTTTTTTCATTTATTTTTCACCTTCCTTATTTGTCTTGGACACCACTCTCCCCTGGAGAGAAAATGAGGGAAAAAAACAAAATGTTAGAGTTGAATTGCACTTGTGCCCAGACTATGACACTACACTATTTACATATTCTTAGCAAACTGTAAAATAAATGCAGCAATCACCCACTGATTTGTCCCAGGTTCCTTCCCCAAGTTGGTGTAGCGGCAGCCAGATGCACAACAACAATCACTCTTTCTGCATCAAAATATGATCTACAAGAATCATCCAACCCACCTACTAGTGAAAAAAACCCTCTTCCAAAATATCAGTAAGTGCTCTACAAATGATAAATGTCCAAGCACATAAATTCACACAAAGTATTGAATAAGTGTCCAGTGTCTTATAGTCCAAAAAAAAATTTTTTTGAATACGTCCCACTTGAAATCACTTCTTTATAGTGTTGTAATCCTCAGAGCAGCTTCCACGGAAACCCTCAAAAAATTTAAAAAATTCAACATAGTGCATTACCTTAATAACTTTAAAAATAACACTCCATACGTGGAACCACAAACATTAGTGCAAAAAAACGTGAAAAAAGAAACCCTTAAGATTAAGTCCCGGCTGTGACGAAACGCGTTAGAGGAAGTGACGTTGGACGCACAGAGCAGAAACCGGAAGTGATACGGTGGCCATTTTGGAGTGTGGAGCTGCACTGTTATCCATCTGGAAGCTGCCTGGAGTGCAGGCAAGGAGACTGAGTGGTTTTTACAGAATCCTTTGCTAGATATCTTACAGCGTTTTTTCATTTTATTAGGGTAAGGGTATATATGCTATGAGTATTAGAAGTGATACTCTATTTGAAGTGGTTTACACTGAGTGAAAACACATCACCAGTTTGGCACAAGTGTTGCTGTGGTTTCTTTTTTCACGTTTTTTTGCACTAATGTTTGTGGGTGCATGTATGGAGTGTTATTATTAAAGTTAGTAAGGTAATGCACTATGTTGAATTTTTTGATTTTTTTAGGTTTTTGTGGAAGCTGCTCTGAGGATTACAACACTATAAAGAAGTGATTTCAAGTGGGACGTATTAAAATAATTTTTTTTTGGACTATAAGACACTGGACACTTATTCAATACTTGAATTTATGTGTGAATTTATGTGCCTGGACATTTATCATTTGTAGAGCACTTACTGATATTTTGGAAAAGGGTTTTTTTCACTAGTAGGTGGGTTGGATGATTCTTGTAGATCATATTTTGATGTTTGTAACTTTCTAGAGCGGAAAGTTATTTTCTATTCGGAATCAAGTAGTTTATTGGGTGGTTTGGAGGATTTACCGTATTGTGTACTTATAAATCACTCTTTCTGGCTCAATGAACAGGAGGTGCCTTTTTTTGATGCTTTATTGTTAGCGTGATCTTGGATGGGGGGCAGGGATCTCTGGGATATTCAAGCAACAATGTAAGGCAATAGGAGGATACTCTTTGTCAAAGCCTCTCAGTTCAGTCCCTCTAGTAGCCACCAAGAGAACGAGTAACATTGAGACCCCATAAGAACTGTCCAACTCTGGCACTGATATGCAAGGAATAGAAGCAGCAGTCACTAGGATCCTTCTCTCAGGTCTGTACTCACAATGTCCCTGGATACTTGAATGCCTCCTTTCAATATTAGCCACACACAATTTTTCTGTGAACTCTCCAGACCAGATCCTCAATGAAGTCTCTTAGTTACAGAAATTCTCAGCAAAACAAGCCCCCATCTCTAGCATAGCTGGGACCTCGACGAGCACATGTACAACTTCAGCTGTGTTTCCTAGGAGGACAACACCCTTCAGGCTGGAACCTTCTCCCCCTAGACAAGAAGGCTGCCTTAAGCCCCCAGACTATTTATACACCCCCAGGATTGGCGGAGACAACATAAATATTCAAGCTGTTGATTTGCCTCTTCCAGCCCACTACATTTCAGAATCCTCCAGAAGGCTGGGGGAAGCAATCAAACCTGTAGCCAGTGAAGCTCAGAGCAGCCCAAAACAATCACAAACTGCTCCATTGATTACAGAAACCTATCTAGGAGGGTGCTAAATGAATTTAAAAACAGTCCTCCACTGATCTATCTAGCTGCATGTACTTTGAAATAATCCATTCTGAAATACCCTCAAAGACTCCAGAGTTGAGTTTCAGTCAGTTTCTAACCACCTTTAAACACCTTGACTAGAGATGAGCGAATCGAACATGACGAAGTGGAATTCGTTTCGAAGATTAGGAAATATTCGATTCGCGCCGAATCCGAAAATTAGCAAACTTCGGATGCACGAATCGAATTTTCCCAAAAATTGCGGCGACATGTGTGGCGACGGAGCGGGGATCTCTGGGAAGGCGCGCAGACAAGGCGCGCTGACCCATAATGCATTCATTCATGACATGTGATCGCATTAGCCAATCAGCAGCCAGCCAGCCAGCACTGTGTAATGGTGGAGCTATAAATCGCGGCCATCTTACAAATTCTCCATTAGCCTCCGGTCATTCAAGAGAGACAGACCTCTGTGTATTAGGGACAGAGTTAGGGCCACAGAGACTTTAGGGCCACAGAATCGTTACTTAGGGACACAGAATCGTTACTTAGGGACACAGAATCGTTACTCAGGGACACAGAATTGTTACTCAGGGGACACAGAATTGTTACTCAGGGACACAGAATCGTTACTCAGGGACAGACACAGAATTGTTACTCAGGGACACAGAATTGTTACTGAGGGACACAGAATCGTTACTCAGGGACACAGAATTGTTACTCAGGGACACAGAATTGTTACTCAGGGACACAGAATTGTTACTCACGGACAGACACAGAATTGTTACTCAGGGACACAGAATTGTTACTCAGGGACACAGAAATGTTACTGAGGGACACAGAATTGTTACTCAGGGACACAGAATTGTTACTGAGGGACACAGAATCGTTACTCAGGGACACAGAATTGTTACTCGGGGACACAGAATTGTTACTCGGGGACACAGAATTGTTACTGAGGGACACAGAATCGTTACTGAGGGACACAGAATCGTTACTCAGGGACACAGAATCGTTACTCAGGGACACAGAATCGTTACTCAGGGACACAGAATCGTTACTCAGGGACACAGAATTGTTACTCAGGGACACAGAATTGTTACTCAGGGACACAGAATCGTTACTGAGGGACACAGAATCGTTACTGAGGGACACAGAATTGTTACTCAGGGACCACAGAATTGTTACTCAGGGACACAGAATTGTTACTCAGGGACACAGAATCGTTACTGAGGGACACAGAATCGTTACTGAGGGACACAGAATTGTTACTCAGGGACACAGAATTGTTACTCAGGGACACAGAATCGTTACTGAGGGACACAGAATCGTTACTGAGGGGACACAGAATTGTTACTCAGGGACACAGAATTGTTACTCAGGGACACAGAATTGTTACTCAGGGACAGACACAAGAATCGTTACTCAGGGACACAGAATCGTTACTCAGGGACACAGAATCGTTACTCAGGGACACAGAATTGTTACTGAGGGACACAGAATTGTGACTCAGGGACAGACACAGAATTGTTACTCAGGGACACAGAATTGTTACTCAGGGACACAGAATCATTACTCAGGGACACAGAATTGTTACTCAGGGACACAGAATTGTTACTCAGGGACACAGAATTGTTACTCAGGGACAGACACAGAATTGTTACTCAGGGACAGACACAGAATTGTTACTCAGGGACACAGAATCGTTACTCAGGGACACAGAATTGTTACTCAGGGACACAGAATTGTTACTCAGGGACACAGAATTGTTACTGAGGGACACAGAATCGTTACTCAGGGACACAGAATCGTTACTCAGGGACACAGAATCGTTACTCAGGACACAGAATCGTTACTGAGGGACACAGAATCGTTACTCAGGGGACACAGAATCGTTACTCAGGGACACAGAATCGTTACTCAGGGACACAGAATCGTTACTGAGGGACACAGAATCGTTACTCAGGGACACAGAATCGTTACTCAGGGACACAGAATCGTTACTCAGGGACACAGAATCGTTACTCAGGGACACAGAATCGTTGAATTAAAGAGTATGTCAGACAACACGCAGAGGAGTGGCAGAGGAGGCAATGGTTCAGGAGCGAGCAGACGTGGCAGCAGAGGAAGGGGTCAAGGCAGCACTAGTCGCAGCCAGAGGCCAGTGCTCCCGGTGTCATCCAGCGGCCGTGTCTCCACCGACAACCCTGCCGTCATCGATTGGTTGGCTCGGTCGTCTTCCTCTTCCCAGGTCACCTCTGACACCTACAGCCAACGGTCGGTGGGTACGTCAGACACAACCGTTAGTTGGCATGGCCCTGGAGCAAGCCCACTGAAATCACGTGTCCTCAACCTGCCCCTGTCCTTTGGTGTTCCCTCACCAAGCGAAGTATCGCATGCTGTGGGCTCAGCCCAACTGTACAGTGAGGAAGAGCTAACAGAGGGCGGTCAGGAACGGGGGGAGACATCCGCCTCTTCAGCAGCCAGGCGAAGAAGTACTGGCGAGGAGAGTGGCTCGGTAGCCGGTCTAGAGACAGGTCTGCCAGGGGGGGGCTAGTAGTGAGGCGGAGACCCTAATTGATGATGATGAGGCTGATCGCACTTGGCAGCCTCGTCGTCATCAGGCTATTGCTTCCGCATCATCAGGAGAAGAGGGTGCCAGCTTGGCAGCGAGCAAAACAGTCGGTGGGTTGCCCAGG